AACTAAACTAAACTAAACTAAACTAAACTAAACTAAACTAAACTAAAACAAGCAACTAACAAACGCTTAAAGGCCAAGTCCAAGCTTTTGTCTCATATTCCAATTATACCTGGCATAATTTTCCCCAAGTATGAAATGAAGTGGAGTAAAATGGGAACTGTAAGAAGCAATGATACATTTACTGTGGCCATCGGCGTTCAGTCCAAATGGCAACCCGGCCTCTTTCAAACTACACTGTCAGACGGCTAAAGCAGAGGCCAGGCTCAGATTCCAGAAGTCCCCCAAAAAAGGACATCTGGTTTTAGAAACACTAAGTTTTTCTGAGAGAATGAACAGATAGTTCCAGGATATCATCGAAGAAATCCAGAAAAGTGTGTGGCAAATACCTTCTCACCTCTCGGCTTTCTTCGAAGGATTCTTGCTAACCTCACCCCACCAAAGGAGCTTCGGGTGGGAACCTTCCACGTTAGGCGGGCTCACAGCTTTCCATTCCTTCCTCTTTCAGTGTCGTGACCATTGTCTGTTGTTCCGCCTCCAGGAACTGAGATCTCAATGTTTGCAATTGTTTCCGTCTGTCTTCAGGTTGCCCCACTTTTACAAACATTTCTAGGGAAATAATGGTTCCTCTTGCTTGGGGCACACTTGATTTCTTTTCCGGACTTAGCTGTGATTCCGGGACCTTATTCTGCTTTTTGTTGCTTACAGGGAAGGGCGGAGGTACAGTCATGTTACAGGCAAACAGAGGAGTATGGGACGCTCCTGAGGTCTAAGACTGTGGGTCACCAGTTCACTCTGTGGTAGATACTTAGCCCATAGCCCAGTGGGAAGGCCTCCAGTTTGTAAGTCTTCGGTGGCTTGGTTAGGATAGACGCCTTGGGAGATGTAAGAAATCAGGGTTATAAAATGGGTGCAGGCGGGAAGGAGGCAAGGATTACTAACACCATGAGTGCAGGGTTCAATGACAGCAAGGTTCAGGGATTCCTCAGAATGAGCACCCGGGCCTTGCTTGCTCAGGGGAGAAGACCATTACAGCTGACCCAGGATTCAGAAATACCTTCGTGACTTAGGCCACCATTTTCCTGTCTGTGTCCAACTCTGGTACCATCAACAAGCTACATTGCTAAGAATAATGTCATTATGAAATTAGCCTGGGATTGACACAGTGTCTTAATTAATGCCAGCGTAGCATCTGTGGTAGTGGAGACTGGGGGCAGGGAGCTTGGCAACGGCTTATAGGTTACAGGATAGCTAGATAGTTTCAGCCAACCCTTTTCACACTATCTGTCTTCCTCCATAGGAAGTCTTAGGATCCAGGTTGTATCTGAGTCTCATGCTGTATGTTTCCACGTTTTACCCCTTTCTTCCCGAGGCCCTCAGCTATGAGGCTCTGTATCAAGGCGCTCTGCCTGAACATTGTTCCATGGCCAGGTTGGCCAGGCAAATGCCAGTTTTGATCCTAGGAAGTGATACCCCCCATTCTGTAGTTGTTTGGGGTGAGACCAGAGTTGGTAATGAACCCCAACTGTGTTTTCCAGGCACTTGTATTGGCTCTGAAGCCTCCTTTGTTTCTAAAGTAGGTTAGGGACATCACGCTTCCTAGAAGCAACCCTAAAAGAAACGGAAGTTTACAAGGCCCGGTGGGGAACAGGATTGTGTGTGGAACTGTCTGGGCAGAAGACAATACATGGTATTGAGTAGTTATAGGAGGGGGGGAGAGAAGGGGGGTGAAGTGAAGGAAGGAAGCTGGCAGGCTCAGCATTTCTGCCCTGGCGTCATCATCTTCCTAGACAGAAGGCCTGGCGCCAGGATCTAGGTGCTTTCTTCATAAATAAAAGCAGGTGAATCTGAGTAGAAGCCACATCTCAAGATCTGGGAGCAGCCAACAGGATGTGCCTCGCTCCTTTCTTCCTGGTGTGCCTTTTGTTCCCTGCCATTCAAGCCACACAACTCACAAAATGTGAAGTGGCCCAGGCCATTAAAGACATCGATGGCCATCAAGGCGTTAGCCTGCTCGAGTGTGAGTTCACCACTCTGCCTCCTTGCTTTCTTCCGCTCCTCACCTCTCCCTCCTCATTCCCCTTTGTCTCCTCCGCCTCGGATGAACCATCTCCTTGTAGTCTTATATCCATCCTTCTGTTCTGCTCTTTTTTATTCTGTTAGTTCCCCTGTCCGTCCTTTCTGCCGTTGTCCGATCCTTCTCACCTGATCAAGCTCTTCTGTACTTCACCACTCTTGGAGATCAGTTGGCACAACTTTTTTTTTTCCTGCCTGGAGACTTGTTCCTCGATTATGCTTCCCCTAGACATCCCCATGAGACTTCTTTCTTCTCTTTTCCTTAGGGATCTGCATTTTATTTCATACCAGTGGCTATGACACAAAAGCTGTAGTCAAGAACGAAGACGCCACAGAGTACGGACTGTTTCAGATCAGCAACAAATTCTGGTGCAAGAGCAGCGAGATCCCAGAGTCGCAGAACATCTGCGGCATTTCCTGTGACAGTGAGTTGCTCCTTCTCCCTGCTCTTCTGTTCCCTGCAGCCCCCCTTGGAGACAATGTCCTTTGGCATCCAGCACACATCAGGGTGACATCTCTAAGAACCTTGCTCTCGCGCTGGTCATCGTCTGCACATGCGCAGAGAGTCCCCTCTGGTTCAGGGAAGGGTAACCCGAGCCATCTGCGAGTCTCAGTCTTTTCAGGATGTGGTGAAGCTGATGGTTTCTCCAGAGGGAGAGGGAGGGAGGAAGTCACTACCGAGGGGACATGCTACTAGTTCAGCCTTTTCATATAGAGATTACCTAGGCCTAGGCTTCAGCTTAGAAGCAGGCCCCCTGGCTGCAGGGACAATGGAACCAGCCCACTGAGACGCACTTCCTAGCTGTCTTGTTCCTTCCTGCGCTCTGCTAGAGTTCCTGAATGATGACCTTACCGATGACATCGAGTGTGTCAAGAAGATCCTGGCTTTCAAAGGCATCGACAACTGGTAGGTCATTGTCTGTCTCACCCCTACCCCCACCTGACGGGACATTAGCGCGTCCCTCTCCTTGTCTCTCTGGGCTGCTTACTCTCGGATAGGGTCTCGGAAACAGAACTCCCCTGGAGACCCAGAGGTCCATAGTATAATGTTCTTTTGTGTCATTCCTGTGTGACAACTTTCCCAGCGTGAATTTTCCTGTTGGAAGGTAGACGTCCAAGCCTCCTTTCCCCTAGCCAATCCTAGCCTTAAAGCAAGCCCTGGGTATTATTATTCCGCATCTTTCTAGATCTGAACTTGTATTGATTTATTATTATTATCATGTTTTTTTTTTTTGAGACAGTTTTTTTTTTTTTTTTTTTTTTTTTTTTTTTTT